GGAGAAAGCCGGCAAGCTCCCAGCAGGCAGAGGAGCAACAAGGGGAAGCAGAGCTCATCTCTCTTACCCCCGTCCAGCGAGAAAGCCCAAAGGTGTCCTCACCAGCTTCTTCCCTGCCCTAGGGAGAGGGGTTTTCAGCAGACAGCCAAGCAGAGGAGCCGCCGCAGGAGGCCGTGCCAGAGGGGATGGGACTGACCCAAGTGGTAGCGCAGTACAGTTACGAAGCCACCCACCCTGAAGACCTGGAGTTTCGGGCAGGAGACGTGATCCTCATTTTATCCAAAGGTAACTGCGCTCCTTCTGCGACAGGGGAGGGAAGGGACATCGCGGGCTCCCACCATCTGCCCCTCAGGCCAAAAACTCGCGGTCGTTTGGTCAGATGCTGAGTGTGTGTTCTTCACCGGAGCCTGCAAGCTTCCCGAGGGACTTTGATCTCTTTTCTCCCGTCCTCCAAGGCAAACTGCTTCATGCTATGAGGATGATGAGGGGACTGGAGCATCTCTTCTACGAGGAGAGGCTGAGGGAGCTGGGCTTGTTCAGCCTGGAGAAGGCTGCAAGGGGACCTTAGAAATGCTGATAAATATCTGCAGGGTGGGTGTCAGGAGGACGGGGCCAGACTCTTTCCAGTGGTGCCCAGCAACAGGACAAGGGGCAACGGGCACAAACTGAAGCAGAGGAAGCTCCAGCTGAACAGGAGGGAAGAACTTCTTCCCTCTGAGGGTGACAGAGCCCTGGCCCAGGCTGCCCAGGGAGGCTGTGGAGTCTCCTTCTCTGGAGATACTCAAGCCCTGCCTGGGACGCGGTGCGGTGCAGCCTGCTGTGGGTGACCCTGCTTCGGCAGGGAGTTGGACTGGGTGACCCACAGAGGTCCCTGCCAACCCCTAACGTTCTGTGATGCTGGGGACCCACAGAGCAACAGCCTGGCTCAGGAAACTTCTCCTACAAGCTTTGGTTTGCCACCTTTAGATGGAGAACCGGGTGCTCAGGCTCCTGCTGCAGGGTGCTCCGAGCAGGCTCGCGCTCTGTGAGGGAGGTCAGAGCAGGAGCTCACAGAGACCGCAGGTGCACGAGGTGGCCGGTGGAAGCCAGGGGGAAGCAGGCCCCGAGGACACTTCGGAGACCTGCTTTCCACCGCTGTGCCACCACGCTGCCAGTTCCCACAGGCGCAGGGCAAATCTGCTCCATCCCCATGAAGCATGGGGGCGGGGGGGGGAAAGAAAAATAATCCACCTTACTGCAGCGTT